GCACGCTACCTCACGTGTAAAGAAGCGGAAATTGAGAAGTTGAAATCTGATCTGTCTCCGTAGTAGATATTAATACAGTGTGAAACTTGAATCGTGAGTATTACATGAACTTTTACCGTGACCCATTACTTTACCTATTTTTTGCCCTCCGTGGACATAGAGTGAAGTTGCGTACGAATGTGTTCAAGCTTAAGCTCCGCTCTGAATTCTTCATGAAACGGGCCATACTACAGTAAAATATCCTCCCGCAATTATTCGGGGAGGCTACGTCCACACAGCCGTTCAACAACGCTTGGATAATTACATGTGCCCTCTGTTGTACGTCGACAGTACGAACTCGATCCAACACTTGACAAGAGTTATTTGTAAAAACAATGCTACTTATTGTTTGTCAATACCATTTTAATAGTGACAATTCTACGCGTGCGTATACAGATGTATATGACGCACGGGCATGTAACCGAATTCATGCCTGTGACATCGACACTTGACCCGAACTCCAGAAGTCGACAGATGGAGTCCACTCCAGGTTGCAAGAGTTCGCTAATAAAACTGCGAGACGTGCCTCAAGACTCCAGTCAACAACTTCGCTGAAGAAAACGTTTCCTGTAAGCATTAGGTTCAATACCAGCATCGATCGCCTCAGAAGTCCCTCTAAAATCGCATTAGTGGCTCACATCTACCATATTGCAGAACTGGAATAGAACATACGAGAGGAGCCCACAACTTTTGAGACAATGATAATCTAACCAAAACCCCTATGTTGGTGATACGTCAAACTTACATGATAATGACAGCGTCTTCTTAATGTGGCCTTTATGGCGCTCCCAGGCGGGAGCCTACCTAGCGAGACGTGCTGTTGGTCGCGCCATCCGCCTGCACCCTCACCCATCTCCGGTCTTCACTTTTGTCTTGATATCGGGTCCGGTGTGGGAGTGAGGTAGATTTTGTGCGAGTCTCCCTTAACTATAATCCAGCGTTGCTTCAGCCTGCTGAGGCGCGTGGTGGAGATCGTCGAGAGCGACGGTCAAACTGTCGTTTAGTACCCGTGTGCAGTATGCGTTAAGAAGAAGAAACGTGGTATAACGACGGGTTCAGCTTCGCTGGTGTTATAACGATGACATCTGACGTGTGTCACCGTCGAATTACACCCTGTTGAAATCCCCAAGGAAGAACACAAGAAGAAGGGCATAATTCTGGAATCCACTCGGAGGAGGGTTTATTGTATAGACTACCCGGAAGAGCTGTCTCAGGTGGTTGTTATCGCTGGGTCGATCTCCAGCGCGCTGTTTGTTTCGCCTCGGAGCAAGCCCCGGCATTAGGGCCGGACTGACGGTGCATGACATGTGCAAATCACTGTCTTAGATGTGACAGTGGCTTACAAGTGATTGGCAAGCGCTTTCGTTTGCGGCATCATTGGGCGCATTAGGATAAGGTCACTTGCCGTGCCGAAGCTAAGTGGACCTTCAGGAACTACGACTACTTGGGTACGCGCCTGGACGCGCGTGCGTGTGCCCAGTTTAAGGTCATCGCATGAAAATAACCACTGCGAAGGCATATGACCTTGAAGGCAGTCCCCATTGACAAAGGAATCATTGTGGCAGTCGGCGGCAGGCACGACGTCTGAGGAGAGCCTGCATGTTTGCTAGCCTTTGGTCAGGCTACTCTCCTAACAGTACTTAAGTAGGTTTGGCTTAATTGATTATTGTGCAGCCTAATTCCAAGACATTTCAGTCACGTCAGGATGCCGGCTTTTGAACGAGCTTTTTTCAACCGTTGGCAATAAGCATAGTCCGTACAAAATGGCTAATTAATAAGTATTCCTCCTTTTCCTCATTGTAATACGTGCAGGCATGAACAAGGCGAGGTATAAGTAGATATGACATGAGACGCCGCTTGGTCCTTTAACGGCTACGAGTCGAGACTGGGAGCGCCCTCATCACTATCATATGAATACACAACTATGTACTATCTTAAGGACATAAACCCAATCTTGCCCGTTTTTCTAACCTGCACCAGAAGAAGTAGTGTAAGCCCTTTTTAGGCCCACAAAAGGTACAAAATAGACCTCCGCGAAGCGGCAGAAAGAGATGAGAACACAGAGGAAAAGGATTGCATCGACAGATTAAATCGATAAGTACTGACAGCGTCAAGACAAGAGGCTGAGTAAACACATCTCTCACGCGAGCTCCTCGCCACGAAGGAGGGTGTAGAGATTAGGAGTAGGAAGAATTATCAAAAAAACTGGGTCGTTGCTGAGATGCACACACACAAAATGGAGCTCGATAGTCTATGCGTGCGTTTGCGGTAATAATACTGCGGGGTTCCGCAAGCCCTCTCCTGTGTTCTTCGTTCGAAAAAATAGGCGCATAAACATCTGTTTGTTTGTTTGGGTAATTGAGAGGAAAGGGCTAACGGAGTGGGTGCTGGGACGGATGAGATAAGATGGATACTCAAAAACGTCCTAGAAACGACCATGAGTGAGAGGGAGAAAGAGAGATGACCGGGGGAGGGGGGCACATGGTACAG